TGTTGGAATGACAGCATTAGTTAATGTCTCATCCAGTTGAGTCTCGCCAAGTTTCTCCTTGATAACATTGTGAAGGTACTCTCCTTCGTACTTTGGTCCAAGTCCAACTATAGGTTTCAATAGTTTTCGGACCAATCCTAGTAAGCCATTGCAATCCAAAACCAATACAAATACAGTTGGAGGAAAGGAATGATGAAAAGAAAGGTAGACCTGATGTGGACAAAACAATAGGTTGCAAATTTTCGATGTCAAATGTTGGAATGACAGCTTTAGTTAATGTCTCATCCAATTGAGTCTCACCAAGTTTCTCAACATTGTGAAGGTACTCTCCTTCGTACTTTGGTCCAACTATAGGTTTCAATAGTTTTCTGACCAATCCTAGTAAGCCATTGCAATCCAAAATCAATACAAATACAGGTGCACATCAATAAAAATATGATCATAAAATCAATAAGATTCGTATAAAATGTAACTATTTGTTGTACTACTAAAGTATAATTTATACTTCTTTTGAGGAAACATTCTAGAGGAGTGCTCGAGAGAAAAGGGTTTGATATCTTTAGCTGCAAACAACGGATGGTTATTTTTGTTAAGAGCAGTTAACATCGCAGTTACTAGACCTCCCGTGCTCGTTCGTGCAATAACATCAAAGTAATCTGCAAGTCTAGCATCCTCACCATCAAGCACCTGGCAACGAAGAACACATCTCCAAGGTTGTTAAGGTTGCATTGAAATCTAACTGTTAACTGTTTCTTAAAATTATCAATTAGTCAAGATTTTGAAGAAAAAATGAATCTAGCCCTGCCAAGGTTGGATGCGTTGAAGAGAATTAGAAAATAAATAAATGAATCTCTTCCCTAGGCAAGGTAATAAACTAACTAACTATATGAAAAGCGCATGCAATAACTAGACGAGTGATGGTGAGATGAATCAAATTACCAAGTGATCCGCAATGGAGAACCATCAAATACTGATCATTAAGTTCAAAAAGTGTATAAGTAGTCTTATTGTTATTAAGACAATTCTCAAATATATTAGCTATGTGCTTAGACTAAGAAAAAAGATAACCTTTCGAAGAGGATGTGACTTTAATAATAATCATATCGTCAATATATAAAAAGAGCAAAGCACGATCTGCAGCCGTACATCATAATGGCTAGGATGAAAACCAAATGAAATTATCACTAT